CTTCCCTTACTTCCACCCCCACCCCCCATACACCGAGTTTACCTGGCAATCTTGCCTAGTTCCACTATCCAGGAGGATAACGATATGATTTTCTTCAGGTTCACCTTCTTATTTAGCTTCTCTAGGATCACAAATTATAGACTCAAAGACCTTTAACTATGGCTAGAATCCACTTATGAGTGAGTACATACCATATTCCTCTTTTTTGGTCTGGGTTACCTCACTCAGTAAAGCGTTTTCTATTTCCATCTATTTGCATGCAAAATTCAAGATGTCATTGTTTTTTACCGCTGAGTAAAACTCTAATGTATATATGTTCCACACATTCTTTAACCATTCTTCTATTGAGGGGCACCTAGGTTGTTTCCATGTTCTGGCTATTACAAATAGTGCAGCTATGAACATAGTTGAACAAATACTTTTGTAGTATGATAGTGCATCTCTTGGGTATATTCCCAAGAGTGGAATTGCTGGGTCCTGAGGGAGGTTGACTCCCAGTTTCCTGAGAAACCGCCACACTGATTTCCATAGTGGCTGCACAAGTTTGCATTCCCACCAACAATGGATGAGTGTTCCCTTCACTCCACATCCTCTCCAGCATAGGCTATCATTGGTGTTTTTGACTTTAGCTATTCTGACAGGTGTAAGATGGTATCTCAAAGTGGTTTTGATTTGCATTTCCCTGATTGCTAAGGAGGTTGAGCATGACCTTAAGTGTCTTCTGGCCATTCGAAGTTCATCTGTTGTGAATTCTCTGTTCAGTTCAGTACCCCATTTTTTAATTGTGTTAATTAGAGTTTTAGTGCCTAGTTTCTTGAGTTCTTTGTATATTTTGGAGATCAGACCTTTGTCTGATGAGGGGTTTGTGAAGATCTTCTCCCAGTCCGAAGGCAGCCTTTTTGTCTTACTGACAGTGTCCTTTGCTTTACGAAAGCTTCTCAGTTTCAGTAGGACCCATTTATTCATTGTTTCTCTTATTGTCTGTGCTACTGGGGTCCTACTTAGGAAGTGACCTCCTGTGCCTATATCTTGTAGACTACTTCCCACTTTCTCTTCTATCAGGTTCAAAGTGGACAGATTAATGTCGATGTCTTTAATCCATTTGGATTTGAGTTTTGTGCATGGTGATAGATATGGATCTACTTTCATTCTTCTACAGGTTGACATCCAGTTATGCCAGCACCATTTGTTGAAGATGCTTTCCTTCTTCCATTGTATACCTTTAGCTCCCTTGTCGAAAATTAGGTGTTCATAGGTTTGTGGGTTAATATCCGGGTCTTCTATTCGATTCCATAGGTCGACTTCTCTGTTCTTATGCCACTACCAAGCTGTTTTCAATACTGTAGCTCTGTAATGCCTCCAGAAGTTCCTTTATTGTATAAGATTGTTTTGGCTATCCTGGGTTTTTTGTTTTGCCATATAAACTTGATTATTGTTCTCTCAAGGTCTGTGAAGAAGTTTGATGGGATTTTGATGGGGATTGCATTGAATCTATAGATTGCTTTTGGTAGAATTGCCATTTTTACTATGTTGATTCTCCCAGTCCAAGAGCAGGGGAGGTCTTTCCATTTTCTGGTATCCTCCTCAATTTCTTTCTTCAAAGACTTAAAGTTCTTGTCAAATAGGTCTTTCACTTCCTTGGTTAGAGTAACCCCAAGATATTTTATGCTATTTGTGGCTATCGTGAAAGGTGATGTTTCTCTGACTTCTCTCTCTGTTTCTTCATCCTTTGTGTATAGGAGGGCAACTGATTTTTTGGAGTTGATCTTGTATCCTGCCACATTACTAAAGGTGTTTATCAGCTGTAGGAGTTCTTTGGTAGAGTTTTTGGGGTCGCTTATGTACACTATCATATCGTCAGCAAATAACGAAAGTTTAATTTCATCCTTTCCAATTCGAATCCCCTTGATCTCCTTATGTTGTCTTATTGCTATTGCTAGAACTTCAAGCACTATATTGAAGAGGTATGGAGAGGGTGGACAGCCTTGTCGTGTTCCTGATTTTAGTGGAAAGGCTTTGAGTTTCTCTCCATTCAATTTGATGTTAGCTGTTGGCTTGCTGTATATTGCTTTTATTATATTTAGGTATGATCCTTGTATCCCCAGTCTCTCCAACACCTTTATCATAAATGGGTGTTGAATTTTGTCAAATGCTTTTTCAGCATCCAATGAAATGATCATATGGTTTTTTTCTTTCAGTTTATTTATATGATGGATTACATTGATAGATTTGCGTATGTTGAACCAGCCCTGCATCTCTGGGATGAAGCCTACTTGATCATAATGGATAATTTTTCTAATGTGTTCTTGGATTTGGTTTGCCAGTACTTTATTGAGAATTTTCGCGTCGATGTTCATGAGTGAGATTGGCCTGTAATTCCCTTTCTTGGTTGTGTCTTTGTGTGGTTTTGGTATCAGGGTAACTGTAGCTTCATAAAAGGAGTTTGGCAATGATTCTTCTGTTTCTATATTGTGGAATACATTAAGGAGTATAGGTATTAGCTCTTCCTGGAAGTTCTGGTAGAATTCTGCATTGAAACCATCTGGTCCTGGGCTTTTTTTAGTAGGGAGATTTTTGATAACAGCTTCTAATTCTTCATGACTAACAGGTCTATTGTTCACCTGTTCTTGGTTCAACTTTGGTATATGGTACTTATCTAAAAAATGTCCATTTCTTTTACATTTTCCAACTTTGTGGCATATAAACTTTCGTAGTAAGATCTGATGATTCTCTGAATTTCCTTTGTGTCTGTGGTTATGTCCCCCTTTTCATTTCTGATCTTATTAATTTGCATGTTCTCTCTCTGCCGTTTGATTAGTTTGGATAGGGGTTTGTTGATCTTGTTGATTTTCTCCAAGAACCAGCTTTTTGTTTCATTGATTCTTTGGATTGTTTTCTGTGTTTCTATTTTGTTGATTTCAGCCCTCAGTTTGATTATTTCCAGTCTTCTACTCCTCCTGGGTGAATCAGCTTCTTTATTTTCTAGAGCTTTCAAGTGTGCTGTTAAGTCTCCAATGTGTGCTTTCTCCGTTTTCTTTAATTGGGCACTTAGTGCTATGAACTTTCCTCTTAGCACTGCTTTCATAGTGTCCCATAGGTTTGAGTATGTTGTGTCTTTATTTTCATTAAATTCAAGGAAGACTTTAATTTCTTTCTTTATTTCTTCCTTGACCCAGGGGTGATTTAATAGTTGACAGTTCAACTTCCATGAATTTGTTGGCTTCCTGGGGGTAGCATTGTTGTTGAATTCTAACTTTAATCCATGGTGATCTGACAAGACACAGGTGGTTACTAATATTTTTTTGTATCTGTGGAAGTTTGCTTTGTTACCAAGTATGTGGTCAATTTTTGAGAAGGTTCCATGGGCAGCAGAGAAGAAGGTATATTATTTCCTATTTGGGTGGAATGTTCTATAGATATCTGTTAAGTTCATTTGATTCAATACCTCCAATAATTCTCTTATTTCTCTGTTGGGTTTCTGTCTGATTGATCTGTCCATTGGTGAGAGAGATGTGTTGAAGTCTCCTACTATTAGTGTGTGTGGTTTGATGACTGCCTTGAGTTCTAGAAGTGTTTCTTTTACATAAGTGGGTGCCTTTATATTAGGGGCATAGATATTCAGGATTGAGACTTCCTCCTGATGAATTGTTTCTGTTATGAGTATGAAATGTCCATCTCTATCTCTTCTAATAGATTTTAGTTTGAAGTCAATTTTGTTAGATATTAGAATGGCCACACCTGCTTGTTTCTTAGGTCCGTTTGCTTGGAAAACCTTTTCCCAGCCCTTTACTCTGAGTAGATGTCTGTCTTTGTGGTTGAGGTGTGTTTCTTGTAAACAGCAGAATGTTGGATCCTGTTTTCGGATCCAATCTCTAAGTCTGTGCCTTTTTATAGGTGAATTGAGTCCATTGATTACTAAGTGATATTAATGACCAGTGGTTGTTGACTCCGGTTATTTTTTTGGGGGGGGGGTAGTGGAGTGTATGTTTTTCCCTTCTTTGAGTTCTGCTTGTGAAGGGTCACTAGATGCCTGAGTTATTGTAGGCGGTGTTAGGAATGTTGGATTCCTTGGGTTGTGATTTGCCTTCTAATACTTTCTGTAAGGCTGGATTTGTAGCGACGTATTGTTTAAATTTGTTTTTATCCTGGAATATTTTGTTTTCTCCGTTGATAGTGAACGATAGCTTGGCTGGGTAAAGTAGTCTGGGCTTGCATCCATGGTCTCTTAGTTTCTGCAGTACCTCTATCCAGGACCTTCTAGCTTTCATGGTTTCCATAGAGAAGTCTGGTGTAAGTCTGATAGGTTTACCTTTATAAGTTACTTGATCTTTTTCCTTTGCAGCTCTTAATATTCTCTCTTTAATCTGAATGTTTTGTGTTTTGATTATTATATGGCGAGGGGACTTTTTTTTGATCCAGTCTATTCTGTGTTCTGTATGCTTCTTGAACCTTCATAGGGATATCGTTCTTCAGGTTGGGGAAGTTTTCTTCTATAATTTTGTTGAATACATTTTCTGGACCTTTGATCTGCAATTCTTCTCCTTCTTCTACCCCTATTATTCTTAGATTTGGTTTTTTTTATTGTGCCCCACATTTTCTGAATGTTTTGTGATGAGAATTTGTTGGATTTGCTGTTTTCTTTTGTCAGAGCGTTTAATTTCTCTATGGTGTCCTCAGAGTCTGAGATTCTTTCTTCTATCTCTTGTATTCTGTTGGTTATGCTTGATTCTGAAGTCTCTGTTCGTTTACTTAGATTTTCCATAGCCAGCCGGCCCTCGGCTTGTGATTTCTTCATTGACTCCATTTCAGTTTTCAAATCTTGAACTGTTTCCATTACCTGTTTGATTGTTTTTTCTTGGTTTCCCAGAATTTCATTTACGGATTTACTCATTTCTTCAAACCTTTTGGTATATTTCTCTTCCATTTCTTTACTCATTTCCTCAATCTTTTTGTTATACTTATCTTCCATTTCTTTACAGCTGATTTTCACCTCCTGTTTAAGTTCCTCTATTATTTTCATAAAGATCCACTTAGAGTCGATTTCTTCTATTTCTTCTGGAGTAGGGTGTTCAATTCTTCGTTTCGTGATCCCTGGATTCTGGAGATGTCATGTTGCCTTTCAGGTTGTTGGAGGAATTCTTGCATTGGCACCTGCCCATCTCCTACTCTCTGGATGAAACTCCTCAGCACTCTCTGGATGGAACTCCTCAGCACTCTCTGGATAGAACTCCTCAGCACTGCAGCAGGGATAGCTGGTATTTCCAGGACCCAGAAGAAAAAAGGGCAGCAGCAGTGGGAGCAGGGAGGGGTCCCGTGGAACACCGAAGACCCTGTTGCAGAAGCTGAGGGGGGAGGGGCTGTGCTCTCTTCTGGGACAGAGAGCCCAGGCGAGCACCCACTCACCTCTCTGGATAGAACTTCTCAGCACTGCAGCAGGGCTAGCTGGTATTTCCAGGACCCAGGAGACAAAAAGGCAGCAGCAGTGGGGGCAGGGAGGGGTCCGGTGGAACACTGAAGACCCTGCCACAGAAGCTGAGGGGGGAGGGGCTGTGCTCTCTTCTGGGACAGAGAGCCCAGGCGAGCACCCACTCACCTCTCTGGATAGAACTTCTCTGCACTTTGGTTTTGTATTGCAGATTGTAAATCTTATTTTAGATAGGACTGAGAACCTACAGTGCCAGTTCCTAGAGGTACACCATGGAACATGAACAACACCTGGCAGATAAGGTCAGTGAGTGGAGAGCGCAGAGACAGGAGGATTGTGTGTTGACCACTCAACCTGTGCCCTGGGACTGTGCTGGGCTACACCAATGGAGTCTGTGATTCAGTAGATCGGCTCATTTGCACACACGTGAATAAGCAGCCATAGAAGCCCTCCAACTGCTCCCAGCAAAGTGCAGTGGGCTACTGAGAATATTGGGACTTAGATGTTGTTGAAGACATCCATATAGCAACTGAGTAAGGGGTGGCAGGTATGTTATGGAGGGGTGCATGGACTTTATGCTGAGATGTCAGACCTGAACAGAAATACACTTGTCATCTCTGCAATGCCAAGGCTTTTTCTTCTGAGAGTTGAAGTATTAGTGTCTTAGTTATGGTTTCTAGAGACACCATGACCATGGAACTCTTATAAAGGAAAACATTGAATTATAATGACTTATAGTTTCAGAGATTTAGTCCATTATCGTCATGGCAGCACATGGCGCCATGTAAGCAGATAAGGTGCTGGAAAGAAGCTGAAAATTCTACATCTTAATTGGCAGGCAATAGCAAATGAACTATGTCACTGGGTGTAGCTTGAGCATAGGAGACTTCAAAGTCCATCCCCCGCAGTGACAAACTTCTTCCAATAAGGTCATACCTACTCAAATGAAGCCACACTTCCTAGTAGTATCGCTCCCTATGGGGGATATTTTCTTTCAAACCACCACAATTAGCCTAAATCCTTTTCCCTGTCTGTAGACGGAAAAAGAAGAGGAAGTCGGACAGAATGCTGCCTTCCGGGAAGACATAAGCATTTTATAAAAATCCTAAGAATTTGCCAAGAGGGTCTCTGCTCCAGCTGGGTCAGTGGATGGTGGTGAAGAAAGTAAGAGTGAGATGGTGGACCCGGTGCAGCATGGTCATCTCCAACGGCTGAGGCCTCTTCTGTAGGAACCACACCTTTCAAGCCAGCACTGGTATGGCCTAGAGGAAGCCTCTGACGAGTTAGTCCCCAGCACACCAGCATCACCCACTCAGTCTCGGGAAAATATGGCGTTAACAAAGCCAGGTAAGTCACCACATGTTCCTGACTTGGAAAAGACTTGTGTAGAAGTGGTCCCCATTGCATCCGGGTCAGCCACACAGGAGTGAGACTGGAGGTCACTGGCAGGGTAAGGCAGTGCTGGAGGACAGGTGTCTGAAGTCTGGAGCCCTGAGCACCACAGGGAATGCTGTGCCCCCTTGTCTGTGTCCTCAAGCTTTTGCTTAAGGGTCCCTCTTACTCTGCTGCGGTAACAGAACCTCCTGTGATGAGTGTTGTAAGGAGACCGCTTGTTCGTTCCTGGCTGCCCAGAACCGAAATAATCACACAGAAACTTTAGTATTTAAAACACTGCTTGTCCAATGACTCTAACATATTCCTAGCAAGCTCTTACATGTTAAACTAACACATTTCTATTAGTTTATATTTACCATACAGCTTGTGGCCTACCAGCAAAGATTCAGTGTGTCTGTCTCTGATGGTGCTACATGGTGTCTCTCCTAGGCCCATCAGTGTTTTATTAAACCAATACAACAGACAGATCTTTACAGGGTACAAGATCATTGTCCCGCAGCAGTTGAGTGCTGTGTTTGCATCTTCCGCCACCCTGACTGTCTTAGAAAAATGGCCTTTAACTTTTAAGCCAGTTCAGTTTCTTCAAAACTTGTTGGAATTTGGTTAAGCCAGTTCAGTTTCTTTAAAACTTGTTGGAATTCAGATACTCATGTTTTAAGAGCTCTGTGGAGATGTGAAGAATCACGTTAAGCTCATTAAGAAAACAGAGTCGTCTGTCATGAGGAATGTGTTGTGCTGCACTGCTGTTCTTGTTGGCCTCTCAGATGATCTCATGGCACAACAGAGGGAAGGTAAAGAGGATTTCGCCTGCATGAGACTGTTTTCAGCATTTGGTAGACCCTCGTAGGAAATACTCAAGAATAGCCAGGGAGATGAAGACTCACTCCGTGGATGAAGCATGGGCCGTGACTGTGCTAGGGCCTGGGACAGAACCCCCAAAAGGCATACAAACCCCAGGTAGGGCTGGTCACCTCTGCATACAGAGTGCTCTTCAGGTGAGGGGATGTGGGGACAGGAGGAGCCCTGGCTTCTGACGGCACAGCTACCCGAGCAGACACAGCAGCACAGAAGAGACTGCTTGACCAAAAGCCCAGCAAAGGAGAGCATTTCCGGCGGTCTGCTCACCTCTGCAGGTGTGCTGAAGCACCTGCGTGTGCTTGCTCACACATGAACATGCATTTTCGAAATCCACACACTTGCATAATGGAGTAAGCTGTTCAGTTCCTATTGGTCTGGGAGAAATAATCCGGAAAGGGGTGGCTGTTTCCAGCTGAGCTGACAACCCTGGCCCCATGGCTTTGCTGGGTTTAGCGCACCATCTTCACTGCTTGGGCTGCAGTTTTTCCAGGCTACGTGAGCATAAAGATCACCCTGAAGTTCTGGGGTCTCAAGGGTCTCCCCCATTCCTAAAACATTCTCCTACCGGGGACAGTCTGTGGTAGTCTGGCCTCAAGACAAGCTTCTGTGTGTATTTCCAAGCTGTCTGCAATCACAATCTTGTGGGGTTTCTCGTGGACTCACAGCTCTTGGGGAAAATGATCTGCATGGCCGAGCATGCCCACAACAGGCTTTCTGCAGGTGGACGCTCAGGATACTGGTAGTTTGGCTCAGTCTGAAAAACACAGAACATGGAAGCCACTTGTGTGAGTTTCAGTCTGAGGCAAGAGTCTGGGCGACCCAGGGAAGCACAAGCCCACACCTCAGAGTCCCAGTGGCCAGAAGACCTAGAGATCTGAGGACAAATGTCTGTCCCAGGAGACACACAGTGGAAGTTTACCTTTTCTCTGCCTGTTTGTCCTGTTTAGCTCCCAGATGGCTTCATGTTACCCACCTGAGTTGAGACCCCTCTCAACTTTGCCCACTGAGTCCGTGAACCCCACAGAAATGCTTTACAATCACCTCACGGTCACGTTCAGAAAGGCTGCCCTGTTCACTCACGCGGACAGGGAAGTCCTTTGTCACAACTCCCAGTCAGCTATGGCCAGAACTTGGAGAAAAAGAAACCTTCCTGCCCACTTTGTGGTTCCTTCCTGGGGAGGTAGACCATATTTATGGAGAGAATCCCCGGGATTTTGCATTGTTATTCCAGGCTACCAGGCTGAGTTCTGCTCAGGAATACCAGACTCTGTGTCCTCAGACTTTTCTCTCTTGTCCACTGCAGTTCAGAACCTCAAAGCCTGTGATATGCAGTCATTCTGCAAGATTTGTGTGACCAGTTCTTCTATTCTGCGCCAAAGCACACCAAGAAAAAGGATAGACACACGGTGTCCTGTGTGGTACACTGATAAAGGCATGAACGCTCTTTCCTGATCTATGACTGTTTCTTCCTCCTTGACTGCCCGTGACTCTCCAGATGCATATCCAGAGTCTGAGTCTATACAAATCCCTCTACAGAATGAGCAGTGGGTAGAAAGGTCTGGGCCCTTTGAATTTGACAACTTCATACTTGGTTGCTTTTTAGAGTCCCTTGAACAAATTGTTTCAGTGTGATAGAAATATTCATTCTACTGTTAGATAATGACAATATTCCCAGACCTTTGCAAACCAAGGCTGGAAGTTTCCTACAAGGTCAAGGCCAGCTTCGGATAGAGAGTGAGGCGTTGTCGCCCAGGAAAAGAAGGCAGGCAAGCAGGCAGACAGGCTGGCGTGAGGCAGGGAGGCTGCCCCGCTGACTAATTCTTAAGAGAGGACTCTGTCCCCTTGTGTCCTCTTCTGAGCTCCCCCTGAGCGATGGGCCCGGAAATGGGAATCATCTAAGGTCTTTGTATGTGTCCATAAGGTGTGCGGTCCTTTGCAGAGATGGAAGGGACCCTGGGATAGAGAGCGCTGAGCAGTGTGTCCACTAGGAGATGTAGTAACTGTGAGGAAGGTGAGGCCACTGAGAGAGAGCTTGAACCCATACCTCACTTCCAAACAAGCCTGTGGGTGATGGGAAGCAACCTCACCAAGGCCTTAATGAGGAGGCTGGAACAGGGAAGCTGCTTTAGGCAGACAATAGGGTGGGGCTCTTTCCAGAGCACCCCAGGAACCCTGAACAGGCCAGCTAGGCCTAGCATGTGCTAGGGGACATCTCAGGTTTATCTCGGCATCTGTGACTTAATGCAGTACCCCAGTAAAGCAGAATTGCCAAGGCTGTGAAGCACTGAAGTGAGGGAGGAAGATGAGAGCCATTCACTGTGTGTGTGTGTGTGTGTGTGTGTGTGTGTGTGTGTGTGTGTGTGT